TTGGGTCATAAAGGTTCCTTTCTTATAAAGGAACACCATTTTTCATGAAACACAATTCCACAGACATTATTTTAAACAGAATTAAAGGCCCTCATAATAGCTAAAGAAGTGTGACTCTCTGGATCAAGTCCTGCTTATCAAAGCAGTGCATTTCTTAAAAGTTCCAAGTAGTGTGCATGCCACTTTGTATGGTCTGGCTTTATTTGTTTAGTATGGGGGCTTCCTGCTTTGCTCTATATGAATGGAACCTCATTTTTCTTGGGCCCTACTACAGTCTATCTGAACCTCTGGTCCCTAAAAGTGTCCAGAACAGTTATGAGAAAAGAATGGGCAACACGAGTCACAAGGACCCACTCCTCCAAGGTAATTCTTCCCTCTTTACCCACCATGGCAGAGGGGCTCAGGGTGCATTTAGTGCATAGGTTTACTGAAGCTGATGCTGCTAGCCATGTGGAAAGTAGAGGGCACCTGACTTCGCTCTAGTAACCCTACACAGGCAGCCACCTACTAGTCCAGACTCGTTACTCACTTTCCCTTGGCATGGTTAACCCGCAAATCAGGCTTGTTCAGACAGCACCAGTTCCTCTTTCTAATTCTCCTTTTTATCCTCCACAAAGCCACACCAGAGCTTCCTCTGCCCACAGCTGACTCATGGTGCTCCCATCTCTCTGTCTGTTTCCCCAGTCTCACTCTTGGTCTCAGATCAAAACACTATTAAACAGTTTGTCAGCGTCATTCAAAGTTGGACTTTCCTATTTTCTATTTGCAGAATGTTTCCTGAATTAGTCTCCCATTCTCAAGTGTCAAGGATTCCTTGTTTTGGATTCCTCCAACAAGTGTCAAGAAAGGTGTCCCTGACCTCCTTAACTCAATCCTTTTCACCTCTTTAAATATGGCTTTTCTACGAGTCTGAGTTTCTTCCATCTTTGGAATTCTCTCTCATTCCACCCTGGCCCCCACATCTAAAATACAGCAGGACCACAAGGTCGTGAGGTAATACAGAGTTCTCATTTACATTTCCAAATGTTAACCTGCTTTCAACACAATTGTCAGCATATCCATGGCTCAGTTACACTTACATACTGGACCAAGGCAGATGGATGCTCCTTTGAATGTACAAAACAACTGGCTGTCAGTCTTAGTTTCTGTTGGTGCTGAAGTAGAGGGTGTACGTGTGCTCTTTAGAGACACAAACTAGCAATCAGAGTCGCAATATCTATAGCAGACACATATTAATACATATCACCTAAACTCCGGATTTAGTTTTTCCACATTTTTTTTTAAAGAAAGTTTTGTTTTGGTATCTGTACCAACAAATCAAACATCATGTGTCTTAGCAAATGACTAAGTTGCCCAGCCAATGAACTTGAGACAGTGTCACTTTACAAAACAATTGATATTTTCCAAATATAAAAATCCAAACACAGCTACAAAGCAAAGGTTACTCAATCCAACAATGGAGCTAAGTACTGGATAACTTGTCATTCAAGATTTAGGAGAATAAGTCAAACTGATACAAATCCCTTTCACCCCAAAAATGCCAGTATAGTAGATTCCCATAGACAGCTAATGTTGAATAACTAACCATGGAGGGATTTTAAATCCAAATCGAATACTCTTGGTGAAGGCACTAAGGTGATTTCATTGTCCCACAGAGAATTCATGTCAGTTGTATATATGTTTCTCCTAGGAATCCAAAATGTTGTGCCCTGGGAAATGCCTTGGTAGTTTTGCTTTGAGGAAGAAAGTTTTACACAAATGGAATCTGTGCTAGGGTTGAATTGTACACTAGACCTAGAGTTTCCTCAATCAAGGAAAACCTTAAAATGTTCAATATCACCTCAAATTGTCAATATCTCCTCTGCAAAATAACTTTATAATTATCTTTCTCAGGACTCCTACTATGTTTATAATGAACCAAGTTTATTCAGAATTCTTTCACATATAAAATATAAGAAGCATGTGTTTTCTTGGTTCTGGAAAGTCTGAATATATTTTGTTCTATGAATTTTTAAGGATTCTAAGCATTAATTTTTATTAATTTTACATAGAACTGAGCAGAATTATGGGATTGTATTAAATAAATATGTATGCATCAGACTAAATTAACTTGATAAGTTGCTGCTCCTGAAGTTGTTAGTAAAATTACATCTTAAGTCATCTGGAGTGTCAATCTCATAAGATGACACAACAGGTAAACTGATTCCTCCAACTCCCACTTCCACCAGGTTGTTCTGTAGGGAACAATAATGCTCCTGTGGTTGTAGCCACCAGCAAGACCAGGAAGAAAGGAATTCTTACCCTCTAGTCTTAAACAGATGAACTGTGGTATGCACCGGAGCATTCATACAGAGGAGGAAAACTGGGGAGCTTTTAGAAAAAGTAAAAATCAGTTATAAGACTCTTCACTCTTTGTCCCCACATCTGCAGTTCCAAGACCACTGTCTTCCACTTTGATCTCCTGAGATTCATTTCACTTGCTTAAATTATAGAATTTAGGCACACTCAATTTCCTCTCACTTTGGATTTTTATAAAGTGAACTGATGCTATTCTTCGTTTCCCTTTTTACTTTATATAATAAAAGAACATATGATTATTTAAAAATTTTAAAGCCCAAACCTAACTTTATAAGTAAAAATGGGAAAACACCCTTTTATTCCACCCCATCCCACTTGCTTAAGATAGCCACTCTTGACAGTTTGAGGGCAAGGAGATATATATGTACCTGTAAGCAGGTTTAAGTAAATGTATATAAATCTCTTCGGCAAGTTGCTTTGTTCACTTAATATATCTTGATTTTTCCCTTGACTATGCATTTATTGTATTTCTCCCTTTCCCCATAATGAGAACATTCAATCAAGAGTTAATGAAAAAGGTGGGTGCAGAGGCACACTCCTGTAATCCCAGAGGTTCAGGAGGCTGAGGCAGGAGGATCTTGAGTTCAAAGCCACCCTCAGCAAAAGCAAGGCACTAAGCAACTCAGTGAGACCCTTTCTCTAAATAAAATACAAAATAGGATGGGGATGTGGCTCAGTGGCTGAATGCCCCTGATCAATCCCCAGTACCCTTCCCCAAAAAAAGAATTAATGAATAAATAAATAAATAAATAAAATTTTAAAAGAATTCATGAATATCAAAAGAAGCAAGAAAAAACCCTACTGGTCTAATACTAAATTTTTCTCTGGAAAATTAGTTTTTACATTGACTGAAGTCTAAAACTAGAACAAATGGTAAAATATACATGTTCTGATATATATCTATATATATTCACATATATAGATATAGATATCTCTATTATAAATACGTAGATTACCCTACATGGATGTTACCATATGTAATATATGTATGTTGAAATGAAGTTAATTTTCAAAGGCAAGAAGAAAAGGAAAGCATTTGTCTAGGTAGTAAGGTTTAATGGTCCTGAGTAGGGAGAGACACCAAGTGGAAATTTCCCACACTTTGGAGCCAGGACACACAGGGTCCAAACCTAATTGCATCTCTTCCTGATTATGGTTAGTATAGTATTACTTAAATTTTTTGAGCTTCCTTTTAATTAGAGAAAAACATTTTACAGATATTTAGAAATAAATGGTGTTAAGATGGTGTGTTGAATATCAATACTCAAAAGTGTCTTATTGCCAGGTGTGGTGGTGCATGCCTGCAATCCCTGCAACTCAGGAGGCTGAAGCAGGAATATCACAAGTTCAAAGCCAGCCTCAGAAACTTAGTGAGATCTTAAGCAACTTAGTGAGACCCCACCTAAAAAAGAAAAGTAAAAGGGTTGGGGATGTAGCACAGTGGTTAAGCACCTCTGGGTTCAATCCTGGGTCTGGGGTGAAAAAAAGTGCCTTACTACTGTTAATAATCCAGAAATTATACATGATGAAACTGACAGTCCAATATTCACATGTCCAAATACCTGCAAACCTTACTATTTTGTCTTTTTGTTTCAGTATGCCTTCATGATTTTATACTTACCTTATTTGTACACAGAAGGTACCTTAAAAATAAGTTATTATAAACATGCTTAGTCACTATTATTTAAATTTTTATTGAAATAGTCTATTCCCCCAGAGCATCTTGTTGTACTGGGCTCATTAACGTTCCAACCTTTTTCCAAGCAATGCTGAATTTTACTTATAAGTTGTGATAAATACCATCCAATCAACTACCACGAAATAACTGAAAACACTCCCCTTGTCTGCCAGTGACCAAGTATCAAAAGTCAAGCTTCCCATTGAAAACTCTAACCTCTCCTTTTGTTTAACAAGGCAGTCAGAGATACCTACACCTTTAGTTGGCTAATGCCCAGGTCTTGGGGAAGAGATGTTCTGCTCACATCTGGGACCTACCAAATAGTCATCTCTTTTCATAACATGCTGTTAGTCAACTATATGTCCACCTACTCTTTACATCCATCTACACTAAAAAGGTTAGATTAACACAATATCATGAACTTCTAGAAAAAGCAAAGGAAAATTTAGTCACTTCACTACCCAACCATCTTTTTTTTTCCACAAGTGAGAGAAAACTGGGACCCAGAACCCAAGGGCATCAAACTATTTGGATTTGAGCCTTCACTCTTAAAGATGCTTTTCTATTACTCATAAGCCAGATATCATAGGTTCCAGTTGTACTGTGTGATACTTATTAAACATTTTTTGATTAAAGAAAATGTTTGTTGTTCCTAATGCATGTGGGAGTAGCAAAATGCATTGTGTGCCTGCTTGAAGGGTTATTAATCCACCTGTGTGTGTCCACGAGAGGAGGGGATAAAAGAAAGGGGGAGGTGCGTTTGGAATTGTTTACTACTTAAATTTACAGGTAAATTACTGGGTATGGAATAAATAAGACTCACAAGAACTAGCAACCCCCATTACCATCTCAAAAGGGCTTCAGGGACATATCACTAAATTCAAGTACAGAAGGAAGCGCGAAGGGTAGAATTTCTCCTAGGTAGCAGGCCTGAAAAAAGGCTTTTTCCCCCGTATATATTCACCTGGGGAGACTGACAATATCAATTTCCTCCTTCTGCCAAAGCAGGGCCATGTCCTTGTCACTGGGGCTGTGTGGAGGTTCTCATCTCCGCCTTTCTCCCAGAGACGTTTGTGCCAAGGACGCAAGTGGGGCTGGGCCGAGAAGGGCCTGGACACCCGGGCCCATCCCTCATCCCCCTTCTCCGGCGGCGGCAAGTGGAGTCGGACGAGGGCTCCCTGGGCAGCGCCTTTGTTTTCCCGACTCCAATTACGTTTGCGGAAGTGCTGCCGGAGCCCGGCACACGGGGGGCGCTGACGGCAGCCTCCCCCAGCACCCTATAAAGATGACAACAGACACCCGAGCCCAGGGGAAGGAGGGAGCGAGCGGCTGGCGACCAGGGTGGGCGCGGAAACGCCCACGCGCGCTCCCTCGGGCCCCTTCCCAAGCCCCCTCCCCGACAGCAGGTGTGCGCGGAGAAGGGTCCCCGCCCTCCCGCGCGGCGCGTCCCCGGCGGGGGGAGGCCAGGGCGGGGCTGCGGGGCCTCCCCCGCCGAGCGCGCCCCCTCCCCGCGCACCCGGCACCGACTCACCTGCTGCGGCGGCGGCGGCGCTCAGCTGCGCGGGGCGCGGGGAGCCCGGTCCCCGGGGCGCGGGGCGGCAGCTCCGGGCGCCGGGGCGGCGGCTGTCGGGGCGGTGCGCACCATCTCTGGCGAGTCGCTCGTTCCTGGGGGCTGCGGCGGGCGGGGTGGGGCGGGGCGCGGCGGGGCTGAGGGATGCCGGCAGGGTGGGGCGACCGACAGCCGGGGCCGAGCGCGCCCGCCGGGGCGACCTTCTCCAGCAGCTGCTCTTCTTGGTGCTGGGTCCTCACGGTCGCTGCTGTCGTTCACTACCGGCTGGACCCGATTCAGGGCCGAGCGCCGAGGACCGTCCGCCAGGTGCAGCGCTCCGCCTCCTGCGGCGGCGGCGGATGCGTCGGCCTCCTCCTCCCGGCCTCCCGCCCGCCCTGGCGGCCCCGGGGGACCCGGGACCCGACCTGGCTGGGAAGCGCACTAAGAAGGGGAAAGCGGACGTCGAGGTTCCAGCCCGCCCGGCCATTATCACCACCACCACCACCTACCCACCCACACAGGCTTCCGACCGAGACCCCTTCTTCCCTATGCAAAAAATTCAGGCCACGGCGAGGAAGAAGACTTGAGATGGGGAGTAGAGGGATGTCTGATCTGAAGATAGTACTAGCCATCATTTATTGAGCGCTTATTAAGAGCCAGACACAAGGCTAACACTATAAAGGCTCTATCACAGTGTCTCAAGTCACAGTCTTGATCGACTGTCCTCAGTTGACTTGGGAGAGAAGGGAGGGAAAGAACGTGGTGAGTTTCACCAACTCACAGAGGCTAAAACACCCTCCTAGCAAGGCACTGCGGGGTATCCGGCGCTTTGCTGAAGAGATCCTTGGGTATCGCACTAAGAATGTAATTTAAATTGTATTTCTGGTTAAACGTACAGCGAGGGCGGAGAGTGTAGTCGATTGCATAAAGTATTCATTCAACAAGAATTTTTGTGAGCTTGTGACTGGCTCTAGGGGATGCCATATCCTGTTCTCAGCGTTTATTCTGGCCACAGCAGAAAATAATGGAAGCTAACATTTATGAATGTTTATTATATATGAAGTACTATTTAAGCTTTTTCATGATCTTATGGGTATAGGTAATGATATTCCCATTTTACAACTAAGAAAACTGAGGCTGAAAGTTAATGTAATCTATCCAAAATTACTAGGTAGTAAAAGAAAAAGATGACTTCTTTTAGATCCAGTTGTTAACCTCCTAACCATGAAATCATACTCATGAGAACTTTTTAGGTCTTGGAGCTTCAGAATTTGGAGTCCCTTTTGGGGGAGAATTAAAACAATAATAAATACTAAGTTGCTAGACCCTCTCCAGGAACCCATGAAATGTGCCTGAAGCCTACAACACAGCCTCTTGATAGATCCATTTACAATATCGACACATAAAAGCAAAATAAAGGTAGTGAGTGCTAAAGTTTTAAATGAAAATGATGAAGGAGATTATTGTTCTAAGAATGACAGATTGTTGTTTGATGTGGCCTGGAGATACCTGCTTACTACTGCATTATTTTAAACTAAATGGTTCATAGAGTGCACAGTTGGTAGCTGTCACAATAGAATTCTCATTTTTTTCTGATCTATCAAACTAGTAAATAAACAACTTTTTAAAAGAGAACATAAGGGAAAAAAGCAAACAGACTCTTTTCTTTCAGGTCCTTTCCTTTATGAGAAAAGACAACAGAAAAAAAAACTTGGAGAAATATTAGATAGATCTTGATCTATAAAGTCAGCCCCACGTTGAAAAGTGAAACCATGTCATCCCAGAGATCAAAGCTGGTGTTTGTATTTCAAATAGGACCGGGTAGGCTCAAGGGTCAGCACAGGGAAAAGGTGTTGTTCCAATTGACCTTGTTAAGGAAGGATTTTTTTCCTGACAGCCACAATCCTTTAAATATGTCAGGGTTTTTGGCTGTCTAGTAGGTCGTTATTCAACTCATACACATACTAAAGATCACAAAATTTTAAATTTTCTTAATTTTTAAAACACAAATAAATCAATATAAGGAGAAGACACAAATATGGATGAAGAAATAGTGATCTGCTATTCCTTCCCACCTTCCCACTGTCTCTGAGCTAACCAGTGGGTGTGGTGTGGGAAATTAGCCTCCAAGTACACAATCAGTCAGGCTAACCCACAGGGTCATTGCGCAGAGAGACTTCAGATGTTGAAATCACAAGGCTATTGAAGAATGCACAGCATGAAGGCCAAGAGAGAGAGGATAGAGTACAAATGGGTGATATATTTATGAAATGTGCATAGCTTCATACCCTTTCTCCAGTCTCAGCTACATCATTCTTTCCCGCTGATAGAATAGTTACAAGGATCAGAGTGGAGGTTAAACAAAGAGGCTTGGTAGACAGAAGGTGCCTGGTGCCCGACCCAACACATACTTACTTGCTCCAGGAGACATAGGAACAAGTATGCCTGGCTCTAGTTCTAGCTCACCAATTAATCTGGTAGTTGCTATGGATTTTATCTGCATTTCTCAGGCAGAGAGGAGTGCAGCCTGGATGGGTATCACCAGTGGGTGGTCCTTTTAAGACTTCCTGGATATTGATTGACTTATGAATATTTAGTATATCAAGAATATTTGGGGACTGGGGTTGTGGCTCAGCGGTAGAGTGCTTGCCTAGCACGTGCGGGGACCTGGGTTCGATCCTCACACCACATAAAAATAAATAAGTAAAAGGTATTGTGTCCAACCACAACTAAAAAATAAAATATTTTAAAAAAACAAGACTAATGGTAAAGCTTGGAGAATTAGCACTTAAAAAAAAAAGAATATTTGGCCAGGTACAGTGGCGCATGCCTGTAATCTCAGCTGCTTGGGAGGCTGAGGCAGGAGGATCACAAAGCCAGCTTCGTCAACTTTGCGAGGCCCTAAGCAACTTCGTGAGACCCTGTTTCAAAAAGTAAAAGCTGGGGATGTGGCTCAATGGTTAAGCACCCCTGTGTTCAATCCTGGGTACCAAAAAAAAAAAAATTGATGCCTACTTGGTCCTTCCAACCTTTCCTCTTTCCTCTTTATGTCCAACTCATATATTCACTACTTTTTCTCACAAACTACTTTCTTCTGCTTCATTTACCTTCCTCACAATGTTTTTTTCTTGTATTTCCTTTGACAGAATTGTTTATTCTTAAATAAGAAAATAAACATATTACATTGGGCAATAATAATAACAAATAACATTTATATAGGACTCACCATGAGCCAGGCAAGGCTCACTGCAATTTGCAATATATTTATTCAGAAAACCCTCACAGTAATCACATGATTTTACCAACTGGTGCATATAAAAGTGAAACAACTTGACCAAGGTCACACCACTAGTGAGTGATAGAATCTTCATTCGATCCCACATAGTCTGGCTTCAAATTCTGGCTCTTATTCATTCCTCCTTGCTCATTTAAATACTTCAAAACATGTCTAATCATACAGAGGGGTTGGAGTTTTTAAAAATTTTTTTTAGTTGTAGATGAACAAATACCTTTATTTTGTTTATTTATTTTTATGTGGTGCTGAGGATTGAACCTAGTACTTCGCACATTCGAGGCAAGTATTCAATCACTGAGCCACAACCCGAGTGTCAACCACTCAACCACTTCTTTCTTCACCTGTCAGGAACATTACTGTTGATGGTTTCTTTTTCTGTCTTTCTTTTTTTTTTCAAGTTGTCAATGGGCCTTTATTTATTTAATTAATTTATTTATATAAATTATATGGTGCTGAGAATTGAACCCAGGGACTCACCTGTGCTAGGTGAGCACTTTACCACTGAGCTACAACTAACTCCAGCCCCTGGTGTTTCCTTTTTAAAACTTTCTTCCTTGAAACTCACTCCTCCTCTAACTTCCATGACCCATAAGCCTTGTGTTTCTCTTTTCCCTCAGGCCACTCCCCTTTGTATGATCCATTTGTTTTTTTTTTTAATTCCTTGGATTTTGTTCTAGATCTTTCTTTCTCCTAACTGCTGCTGTTGTTATTTTGGTGAATGCTCCTTCTCATTCTGTTAGCTTCAATCACAGAATGTTTGAACATAAACTAACATCCTTCTCTCTGAGGCAGCTTCTCTCCTGAGGACCAGATCCATATGGCCATTGTCCAGTGGAATGTGTCACAGGCATCCCAACCTCACTAAATCCCACATCAATGCTTCATTATCTTCTGTTCTCCCCCACTCTCCTCCCCTGTTCTTACTTCAAATACCATCTATCTTTCCCCCTCTCCAGTACCCCCATACACAGTATATTTATTTCCTATTGCTGCTGAAACAAGTTACCATATTATCTTAATTTTGGAGACAGAAGTCCAAAATGAGTTTTAGTGACTGCAGGGCTGGTGTGTTAGTTAGCTTTTTGTCACTGTGACAAAATACTGGAGGTAAACAACTTAAAATGAAGAAAATTTATTTTAGCTCATGGTTTCAGATATTTCAGTCCACGGTCAGTTGGTCCTATTGCTATGGGCCTTTGTGAAGGCACAACCTCAAGATGTTGGCTGGGAATGTGGGGGCAGAGAAGTGGAGAGGAGAGAGGAGAAGAAAGGGCCTGGGGTTAAGATATGCTCTTCCTGGGATATGATGCAAGTGACCTACTTCCTCCACCTAGGCCCACCTCCTACAAT